GTGCTGTATTCAGCTCATAAATAGATATTTAAGAGACTGAGCTGAATACAGCACCTCAGACAGAAGAAGTCTTTCAGATGAAAGACGAAAAGTTTCTACTTTTTGGTTTTGTTTTGTTTTTTGAACGTCCAGAGGACCAGACTTAACTTTTTTAGATTTACATATAGATGTTTTTGTAGAATCTGGTTCATCAGATCCAATTCAATTCAGTTTAATAATATAGCACCAAGTCACAACAGAAGTCGTCTCAGAGCACTGAACAGAAACATCCATCCATTATCTTTACCCGCTTATTCCATTTTGGGTCACGGGGGTCACCGGTGCCCATGTCCAGCAATCACTGTGCGATGGGCGGGGTACACCCTGGACGGGTCGCAAGTCCATCACAGGGACACATAGAGACAAACGAGACAAACAACCATTCACTCTCTCACTCACACCTAGGGACAATTTAGAGTTACCAATCAGTCTAACATGCATGTTTTTGGTCTGTGGGAGGAAACCGGAGCACCTGGAGAAAACCCACGCATGCACAGAGAGAACATGCAAACTCTACCCAGAAAGGCCCCTGGACCAGGGTTTGAACCAAGGACCTGCTCGCTGAGAGGCAGCAGCTCTACCAGTTGCGCCACCGTGCTGCCCTGAACAGAAACATTCAAATATAAAATAATAATTTAATATTATTTATCTGAGGAGCAGACTGCTTTGAGTTTAATTCCATTGCAGAACTCTCATTAGCAGGACTTGGATTCTGGACACGCCTCCAGAATCGGTCAAGGCAAGACAAAACTCTCTGTTTACCGGTCATTCTACGTTCCTCCCCTCACCTCTGGTCATGAGCTCTGGGTAGTGACCGAAAGAATGAGAATCGTGGATACAGGAGGTTGAAATGAGTTTTCTCTACAGGGTAGCTGGACTCTCAGAGACAGGGTGAGAAGTTCAGTTATCAGGAGAGACTCAGAGTAGAAATGCTGCTCCTCCACATCCAGATGAGCCAGTTGAGGTGGTTCGGGCATCTGGTAAGGATGCGCCCTGGGTGCAGGCATGTCCAACTGGGAGGAGACCCCGGGGAAGACCCAGGACATGCTGGAGAGACTATGTCTCTTGGTTGGCCTGGGAACGCCTTGGAGTCCTCCCAGAAGAGCTGGAAGAGGCTGTGGAAAGAGATGTCTGGGCCGCCCTGCTCAAGATGCTGCCCCTGCAACCTGACTTTGGAATAAGCGGAAGATAACGGATGGATGGATGGACGGATTTTGAAATCCATCCATCCATCCATCCATCCATCCATCCATCCATCCATCCATCCATCCATCCATCCATCCATTACCATTACCCACCTCTTCCTTTTCGATTCACGGGCATCACTGGCACCTATATCCAGCAGTCACTGTGCAAAAGGCAGGGGACACCCTGGACAAGTCTCCAGTCCATCGCAGGGTAGAGTTGCATTTGGGCCTAACAAAAAAGCCGGCCCGGTCCAAACCGTATCAATTTTTCTGAGCCGACCCAAAACCGATAGATTAACTAATTACAGGCCTGAACCCGAAAAAAATTAAGCTTTTACTGCTTTTGTAAGCAAATCAGTTTGACATGATGGTTTTAAAAACGTATTTCAAAGAAAGGAAGATATAAGATTTCTAGTTTCATCAAATTGATATTAACATACAAAACGCAAAGTCTAAAAAATCAACTGTAAAGACAGGCTATTATACAGATGAACAAAAATATCTTTAGAGCAAAGTTTTTTGGAAAAATACAAAACAAGGCTATTTTAATTGAATGCGCTGCTTGCTTCAGCTTTTGTAGATGCTGCTGCTTCCTTCACTGCAGATGATAGCAGGTGTGGAGACGCACGCAGCCTGCTTCTCTCCCTGCTTCCTCTGTTTTCTCTTGGACCATGTGTCAGATGTTTAGCTGCTCCTCTGCCTCCTTTAGTGATAATGATACATGTAACAAATGTAGTCTTATGGTAGCATTGGAGGAGAGGCTGTCTGAACTGGAAGCTCGGCTCCGCGCTGTAGAAAAACCAGTAGCTAGCCAGGTCCCCTTAGAACCACAGAGGCTAGCTCCCGTTAGCGGTCCTCCAGCAGACCCCGAGCAGCCGGGACCCCAGGCTGGCTGGGTGACGGTCCAGAGCAAGCGTAGTGCTAAGGCTAAGCCCCCAGTTCACCACCGACCCGTTCACGTTTCTAATAGATTTTCCTCGCTCAGTGACACACCCGCTGAGAAGCAGACCGTGGTTATTGGAAGCTCCATAGTCCGAAACGTGGCTTTATGGACTCCAGCAACCATAGTCAAATGCATTCCGGGGGCCAGAGCGGGCGACATAGAATCTTATTTGAAACTGCTGACTAAGGTTAAGGCTAAATACAGTAAGATTGTTATTCACGTCGGCGGTAATGACACCCGGTTACTCCAATCGGAGGTCACTAAAATTATTGTTGCTTCGGTGTGTGACTTTGCTAAAACCATGTTGGACTCCGTAGTTTTCTCCGGCCCCCTCCCCAACCTGACCAGCAATGACATGTTTAGCCGTATGTTGTTGTTTAACCGCTGGGTGTCCAGGTGGTGTTCTGACAACGACGTGGGCTACATAGATAACTGGAGTTCTTTCTGGGGAAAACCTGGCCTGATGTGGAGAGATGGCAGCCATACCACTTTGGACGGAGCCGCTCTTCTTTCTAGTGTTATGGCTGCAGTGGTCTCTGCCCTTTTTCCTTGTATAGGTCTGGAGACAGGCCTACTGCAGGTGTTGTGTTTTGCCCTGATTGGTGCTCTGCTGCTTTAAAACTGCCATGCATGCAGCAGAAGTGAGAGAGAGGCATTTTTCCCTCTTCCTCCTCAGAACCCCGTTTGGTTTGTATCTGATGGTTGGGTTTTGTTAGGTTTGTTTTGCATTTGCTTATTTCTGGTTAGTTATGGGTTTTGCATTAATCTATTTTGGTTTCTCATTTCAGGTATTCCTTTTTCAGGCTTTATTTCATTAGTATAATTTAATAAATTCAATTTTCATTTAATCAGAAAATCCTTGTGTGGTCTCCTTTAATGTTATCCCACCAAACGAGCCTGGTGGACGTAACATTGTGGGAACTCGTCCAATCTATTTGGGCTAATTATGCTTGATTGGCCTCATTGTTCATAAGGATTGAAGATGGCCGCGCTCAGAGCAGTTGCAGCTTCACAGGCTCCCGGTACCATCACAGTTTTTAGAAGTTTTGATATTGACTCTGTGCCTGACTCCACGCGATTTATGCGTGTGAACTATAGCCGAACCGAACTGATGAGAATAGGAGCGGATTTGCCACGAAATATAGCAGAAATCAGCAACAAACTCAAAACTACGCT